AAGACCGATTTGCATAATAAGAGCAGTAGAGAAATGAATAAAAACTTAATCATAAATCCAAAAAATATCATTCCAAAATTTCTCCTTCACAGGCATAAGTTCACAAATTTATCAGTTTTTGATAACTTTTATTCACTGAAATATAAATTGCTTTTTTTGCAAGTTTGTTGGGGCAATGAGTGTTTCTGTGATTTGAATGGGAAATGAAAATGAGAATTACTGCATTCAGAAGGAGTGCAAGTTTGATCAAACAAGTAGAAAATGTCTAATTTGTTGTAATCAAAAAATGCTTCTATAAAATTACAAAAGCCGTTCATGAGAATTCATTATTGCCATTATTATTTGCAAGTAATTCTTAAAATCAATTCAGAATCAATTAATATTGTCATTCTGAACATAATAACTGTTGAGCAGGGCATAACTGGAAGTAACTGTCTTGATTTTTTTTACCATCAAACTCATTGCTTCAATTTTAACCGATTACTGGTAAGCTGTTCAGAAAATGACTCACTTCTACAAACTACTTTTAAGTAAATAATTAACAATTGAGGTCAAGGTCAAAGGTTTCTTTGATGAACATGTAAAAAAAAAATCAAATCCCACCGGGAACTTTTGCATTTAATTGCAAGGTTGATCTAAAATAGTAATAATAAATGGCTGCAATGAAATTATAACGTATGCTATCAAAAATATTCAGTTTTTAATTAGATAAACAAATTATAATGACAATATAATTAACTAAATCTTAACTTATGCTTACTCTAAAGTTAGAGAATAAAAAGAGATTAAAATAATGTATTGCATAGAGTATTGTTTGCTTCAACTGAATTTATTTAAAAGTTTGCAATGAAAGTAAAAGTAAAGTAAGCAAACATAAATGACCGCATAGATGATAAGCAGAAATGTTGCTTGTAAATTTGCATTTTCGGAAAGGAAAATTAAATTGCTAGATAGATAGATAGATAGATAGATAGATAGACCTTGAATGATCAGTCGAGAGAAATTATTCTCTTAAGAGGTTTGTGTGCAGCGAATGAATGTGCATGAGTTCAGTGTTAACCTTGAGATGCATTTTTAACAACGCTTGACAACAATCTTCCTTTATTATATGCTCACCATTCTGGCTTACTTTCATATTTCATTTAATTTTTACCTTTACTTACTTACTTGCTTATTATTTACTTATTTACAGCATTTTCAAATTTAAATACTTCAGAATATAGCAAGCTAAAAATTATGCTTGGCTTTGAAATGTGCAGCTTTTCTTTAAAACTTGATTAGCTACAAGTGACTCTGTCTATAATAAAAACACTTAAAGCATCTGAAATGACAACAGATAAGCTTATAACCTTTCAAAACAAAACAGATGTTTATTTCAAGATGGTTTTGGAGAATTGTTCATATAGTCGTAGATACACAATTAATATTGTACAAGGAAATGGATTATCATTAGAATTACGCAATTGAAATGGATTGTATTAATAGTGAAACTTAAGTAATTAAGAATGACAAAAAGTTAACGGAAAATAGCATTAAGAAGGCTCAGTTACAAACATTAAAATTGCAGAAACTTTTGTTCAAATAATTTTTTGAATTAATAACTTAATTCTTTGAAAAAGTCGGTTAGAATGCATAACTTACTGAAATCAAATAGTATTTACAGTTCTAATTTTAAAAATCTTTTTGCTATCAAAATTTTCAGATTACTGAATTGACTAAATAAAAGTACAAAAATTGTAGTTAGTTGAATAAATACATTCGATCAAAAATGATATATTTTGCAATAAAAAATTTTCGGAATAAACACAAATGCAACAAATTTTTTATAATTTCTCATTAATTGAACTGAATATTCAATAAAATGAATTGGTACTTCAAGTGATTCCCTTTTTTTTTTTTTCATGTATTGGCATATGTAGCACTAATTAATTCATAATTAATATCATGAATTAGCGCTTTCAAGTAAAGTCAGTAATAATTTCCAACTATTATTAATAAATAAATGCATCATAAATCTTTCTTGAAAACCGTTCTGCACTACACATAGATTTCTTTTAATTTAGCTCAAACACTAGTACCTCCTCTTCAGATTTATCTTGATATTTCATGTTTACTCTGATAAAGTTTATATTAAATATATGAAACATATATTTGACCCTTGACACATTTACATTATTTTTTGAATATCTCTATGTGCAAAATTTATTTTTCATAATTTGAGACTCCACAGCTCTGTCTGTTATTGTCATGGAAATTTGCATGCCTCAAACTTGTTTTCACGTCTTCGTTTTTCTTATTATTCGGATTTCCGTTGAGACTCACATTTACTGACAACTAGATTTCTTCTCTGAGTAACGTTAAAGACCGAAATATACGCATTCTTTTAAACTCTTTTATATTTGTTGGATATGCAAATTTTACTTCTATATGCATTATTTGCTTGTTTGTACAGAAATTATATTAACTTCAGCCTTAATTAAAGTAATACTTTATGTGATGGACAAAGTATACGAAAGCAATTAACAGCATATCTATAAATTTTATTGCACCACTACCAACTTGTTAATATTAACTGTAGACATAACAGGTTTATATAAAATTTTATTCAAATTCAACTCCAAATTAAGGCATTTAATTTTACAATAATTTTATAATTTTACAGATTTGTTACTAAAAAGTATGAGAAAGAATTCATTGCTGCTATAAAAATCAAATCTTTAGAATAAATTTCAATTTATAATATTTATCTAAAACAACTAAACCGAATTTTGTCTGATTGTGAATCAAATACTTTGAGAATTGAATACTCGAAGTATTGAAATTTGCTGATAATTATTTTTGATATCAAATATATTGAGACAACAACTGATAGCAAATTGTCATTTTTGTTGTTTTTGTAATTTTTTAACAACATTGTGATTCATCGACAAATTATTTCAATTAGATATCACTTGCAGTTTGAGACCTAAAATATAATTCAAATATTGTAATTAAACAATATTTACAGTCATTAATTAATAATCTTTAAAACAAATTATTTCAGTCTAAAAGCTTAAAGTAAAAAATGTAGAAATCTATTCAATGTGCTAATACGTTATCGGATTCAAGAAATAATAATACACTAAAATGAAAGGATATTATTTAAAAAATCATCAGATTAGTGTTTCTATTTCACAGCACTAATTGAAAAAGTCTGTAATGATATGACTTGTTACTTTAATCGGTTAACTATTTTATTTTAAGTACTATTAAAATGCTATTTTAGGTATTTAAATTGAGTACAATTACTTTTTATTTTTTTACTTACTACTACTTTTTCTTCACTTTACTGCTAACGAGCTATATCAGATCAGATTTAGTGTTAGTCTTTTTTCAAATTAATGTCACATTTTGTGGAATGAATAGAATGAATTCATTTGGTAGTTATAACTCATTCTTTTTGTTGCTGAAATTAAAAAATATTAAAGTTGTGTGTGTGTGTGTGTGTGTGTGTGTGTGTGTGTGCTCTCAGTAAAAAGTGAAAGAAAATCAAAAATTTTTCTTTCAGAAAAAATATTTTGTGAAAATTTTAGAGAAAAATAAAAAAACTATTCACTACCATTTTGGCAAGAATTATTTCTGATAAACATTTCTCTCAGTTGTACTCAAATATTCATCCTTCTACAACTAAGCTCAACTATATTCACCACTATTGCGCTCAATTACAACTCCATTTTCTTTCTTTTTTTTGACTAAATATTTAATAAATTTACAATTGTAGTTTTATCGTATTCGAAATTATCTTTGATGGCACTTTCAAATATTAATTTTTGTAAAGACTTAATTGAACGTACTGTTATTTTTAAGTATGTTGGTATTTTGAGTTTCAGTAGTGCGAAAATTTACTAATACATAAAATATATTTACCTATTTATTGACATGTCTATTCATGAACAGATAAAATAATTTTCAAGTACAACAATTGCCCATCAATACAATTGTATTTTGTAAAAAAGTTTTGGTATTCTTATTCATTTATAGGTCATTATATTTTATTTATCATTTTTCAAATCTTTCAAAACGTCAAATTCTTACGTGAACTTTTTAAACAAGCAGAAAGTAAAATTTTCTTAGTAGGCAAATAGAAGACAATAAATTTGATACAATGACTAAAATTGTGTCGGAGTTTAAACGTGAAGTAACTATCATCACCAACGCAAAGCAGAGTGTCAGCCTCTCACAGTTCCTTTATTCATTCAGTGATTGCGAGGCTGAAATTTTTCAGTTTTAGAACTTGAATTCTGAATTATTGCAAATACTTAACATTGATATTAAATTTTTTTAACTATCACTCTTTTATCTATTGAATAATGTACGTATATTAAATTTGTTCTTTATCTGTTGTTTCAGACTAATTATTGCTTGATTACAAAATATTTGTGCTTGGCAAAATCGTTTATTATCATTATACATTATAATTAATTATCACAAACATTGTGATGAACTTAATTAAATGATAGATTAGTTTGTTAATTAAAATGTCATGTGATTAAAATTTTGAAAGCCGAAATTTCAAAAAAGAGTTCATATTCATTACTGTTGCTGTGTTCAGCACTGTCTTTCATATCCATCACAAATCATTTAATACTGTACTAA